CTCTCTCTCCCCTCTCTCTCTCTCCCCTCTCTCTCTCTCTCTCTCTCTCTCTCTCTCTCTCTCTCTCTTCTCTCTCTCTCAGTCAGACAGTCAATCCGACAGTCAGACAGAGAGACAGAGAGAGACCTGTCCTATGCCCAGGAGATATTCTATAAGGTAGTCTATAGACTATAGGGTATCCAATAAGGTGCATATAAGGTATATAGGGGATATTCTGTAATGTATTACCTAGGTTAATCTATATGAGTTTTTCTAAGGTTTGTCGAAGGAATATTTTGTAAGGTATGCTATAGCTATTCTCTTCGATTCCTGATTCCTTTCCTCAAAATGCCTTACCCAATAAACTACAGTTTTATGGGGATTTTCAGGTTTTGGGCTCGTCCGGATTGTCCTTATATATAGAAATATATACACATGCTTTGTTTGAAAGGTTATTTATAGGGTATTATATAGTGTTAGGGTATATATACCGTATACATGGGTTATCATATGTAGGGCCATAGGGGGTTTTCCAAAGGTATTCTATAAGTATAGGGTACATATTCTACAGGGTATTCCAGATGGTGTTATGCGGTGGATGCATACACGGGGTTTATCGTGGAATTGTATAGTGCTTCTAAAAGGTATTCCAGAGGGTATTCTATTCGTTTTTTCCACAAGGTATTGTAGAAGGTATTCATAGGGTATGTACAGGGGGTATTCTATAAGGTAATCCGTTCTCGCTATAGACCCCTCACTTAACAAGCTTCGATTTGTTCAGGGATTTCATAGATCCTAGATTCGTACATGCTGCATTTCCTTCGTTTAAACCCCTGAGTGTTCACACACGACATGCATTCGTATACGACTGCTTCTCGTGTTGCAACAGAATGCAAACTTGCATGTATGTTCTGTATGCGTCTACCCAAGCAGACTTTTACATGCAGCTGTATGTATGGGCTCTGAAAGTAACACACAACAGCAGAGCCAAGGTACGTCATCACATATAACATAGTGCCGCGTCAAGTACAGATATAAAAACTGAGTTCTCTTCTTTACAACTCCGATAAGACGCATCGAGATTGTAGATAGAGTCCATGAACACGACTTCTATCGATATTCAAAAGGGTTTCGGCTTACATCTGCAACAATACGCAGACGCGCACGAGCAGTTACATGGTCGAGGTTGGTCTTGGGGGGTTACCAGTCCCGAGGTTTGAAAAAATGGATATTTTGTCAAAGGGTTCCGCATCTAGATTACAAGGGTTCTGCGGGTTTTAAGGGGCGGTAAAATATGTGTGTGTATGTGCGTATTTTTATATATATATATATACAGAGATATCGATGTGTATATACATATACATATATATATATATATATATGTATATATATATATATATATATTCATGCACGTATATATATATACACATTTTTTCACTCACATATGTATGTATGTAAATACATATATATATATATATATACACATACATATAACCATACACATATACGTCGATATATGTATATATACACAAGCACGCCCCTACATACATACGTACGTACATACATACACACATGCATAAATACACATATGTATATATATATATATACACATACATACATACATATGTATATATGTATGTACACACACACGCATGTGTATATTTCTATGTATATATATATATACATAGTTATGTTTATAGATAGTGCAGCATTGCTAATCCCCTCAGGGACACAAGGTCTGACATGCCTCCCTCGCTGTTAGTGGACCTAGGCAGGTTTGTGCTTCGTGTTCTTCGTTCGGATCCCATCTCGACATGTTCCATCTACGAGAATTGAAACACTAGACCACCTATCCCCATGGCTGCTGGCACAGACGTTGCAATCCCAATAACATCAAGATCCGGAATCAGCCACAGTTGTGCACCCCAAGCGACCCGTTCCGGTGTTTGTCGGCACACGGCAGTAAACTGAACACGACATCCTGGCTCACCTGTCACTGTCCGGTAAGGCTGTGCTTGTCAACCAGGCACATCGCCGTGTTGTAGGACGATCCATGTCCATACAGGGTTTCAAATGGAGCGGGGCAGCTTTGAGCGTCCTGGACACAAGAAGCATGTAGACTTTGCCATGCCACCAGCACGAGAGATGATGTCCCGATCTCTCGAAAAGCGCATGTTATATGTCAACCATCCTAAAGGAAACAAGCAAAATTTCAGCAGAGTGAGCAGTCGAACGAGGGAGATCACGTGCCGAGCCCTTGTTTTTCTCGGAACGGGTGCACGCATCACCGGTGAGAACCGACACACACTTATCACATGAGATAGAGCCGGAATTCCTTTGGGAAAGAAGGTGGTGTTCTATGAGCGACAAGTCGCTGAAGGGTTGCTTGTGTAAAAACAAGGCATACAATTGACTGAAGACCCACTGGAAAAGGTACAAGCATGAACTCACAAGCTGGCTTTTGAGAAGAGAAACCATTCCCGCAGCGCCGCCGTCGCAAGGAATCCGCGAAAGCGTCGTTGTAGACCAGATCTACTGCCTTCCTCGACCGTATTCTCCCGTTCTAATTGTTGTGCCTTCCCCGAGCACCGTTGCGTTTTCTTGTAGACGTCCGGGACAGAAGCCATCTTTATCGTCGGGAGGAGTAGGAGTAGGGATGTCCTCCGCGTAGCCACAACCACGCTTTGCACCTTTGCCGTCGTAAGATGCCCCCTTGCCTTTTGCCAAGCCCGAACCATCAATCGAGCGTGACACACGCGCATGTGCCGGCTTAGTTTTTTTGCGCATATGCGTGTTCACGTGTTGTGTATGCATGCATCTATGTACGACACGATGTTGGCCTTGGTGTTGAAACACACGTCTGTTTGCAAAGGCATTCGTTTGTTTGTTCGTCTTTCTACAGGTTTCTATGTGTCTCTGCGTGTGTCTGTGTGTGGGTATGTGTGCGTCTGTCTGTCGATCTGTCTCTGCTGACCTGCTTGGTGCCTGTCCGTCTGAATGTTGGTCTGTCTGCCTGTCCGTCCGTGCGCCTGTCTGTCTGCATGCCTTCGTCGGTCTCGAGGTGTGTGATGGATTACAAAGCCTTTGTGCAGTGTTTCGATATTCAGTCATGCCTGATGCAATGTAATGCACTGTAATGCAGTGAATTCAATGATGAAATGTACTGCAATGTAAGGCAATGTAATGCACCGACGTGTAACGCAGTGTAACGAAACGAAATGGAATGTCATGCAATGTAGTGCAACGTACTGCAATTGTAATGTAATTTGATTGTAATGTAAATTAATGCAATGTAGTGTGGTGGAATGTGCTGGAATGTCATGTAATGCAGTGTAGCGCAATCTAAGACAATGTAATGCAATGCGATGCATGCAACGTCTTGTCATTTCATTCAATGCAAAGTAATGCAAGGTAGTGTGGATTAATGCGATGTAATGCAAAGTAATGCAGTGTATCGCTGCAGGCCAGATGCAAAAACATGGGGGGTGTCTTTTCTAACTATTCCAGGGGGGTGAGGTGACGGAATAATTTTCGCGGAATAATTAAGTTTCAGCGCATGTTGTCAAGAAGATGTGGAGGGCGGGGGGGGGGGGGGG